AACAGGGTTTCTCACTGAACTCAAAACTACTGGCTGGCCAGCAAGCTCCTGGGATCTTCTTGTCTCCCATCCTGTCCCTTCAGCACTGGGGTTCCAGACACATGTTTTTCCAGGGTGCTGGGTATCCAGACTCAGCTAGCCCTTTGTGGACTGAGCCATCTCCCAAACCAGAGTGCCTGTGGAGTTACTCCTTCACCACATTTACTCGGTGTTGTAACAGAGTCATGTGCTTAGGGCAAAGCTGTGGATGAGTTCTGGTCCAGGTACAATTACTGTCTGCCAGGCAGGCTAAGCAGAGGCTTCAGACAGTGGGGGGAGGGTCCCTGTAAGGGAGGAAGGGGGCATTTAGTAGAAGGGAGAAGTTAAGGAAAGGCCCTTCTGAAGTGTCAGATGCAGAGGGATCCAAGGCAGCTTTAGAAGGGTCCACATGGAAGTTTTCACAGCCACAACTCGGCCTCCATCACTGAACCATGCTGCAGTGGTACCCATCCAAAGGCAAGAGGCCTCTGGGGGCCTTCATGACCCCAAACCTGGCCAGAAAGCAGGCGGCGGCACTATGGCTCTGAGTGGAAAGTCAAGACATCCCCACCCAGTTCTCCCCCAGTCCCGTGGTCAAGCCTTTCTTGTACACATCCTTGACCCTCACTATAGCATGAACCCTTCAAGCTTGGATTCTGGCACATATGAACGTACATAAGAACGTTCCCCTTCATCCAAGAGCCCTCCTTCCTCCAAAGCTGGCCCTGCTGTGCTAGGATCCACACACTTTCATCTGTAAAGAGCCAGGTTCTAAACACTCAAGACTGTGCAGGCCGTGAAGCCACCACTACACATCTATCTATACGTGGCCCAGTCAACACGCCCACAGATGACCTGCTGTTGCCAGTGAACTTTGCTCATTAAAACCACCAACGGGTTGGCCCCATCTGCTAGCATGGCCGCTGGCTGCTCCCGGCAATTGTCTTTCTACAGATTGCAGAATCTGGCTTGAGGTCAAGGCATGTTCTGTTTGAAGAGGTCTTCTCGCTGCTGTTCCCTGGAGCACAGCTCAGCCTCCCAGCCCAGCCTTAATGGCTGCAGGGAGGCAAATTGCTAAGAGTGAAAAATGATCTGGGAGGTTCTCCAAAACGGGGGTGGGGGTGGGGAGGGCAGTTCTGGCAGAGAAAATGAAATCCTACCTGGCCTTCAGAGTTAGGATCTCCTGGGCAGCTCAGGACTAGCCTCCACCTTCCGTTCTTGTCTCTCTTCACCGTCTCCACTCTCCTTCCTGTGGGTCGTCTGCGTATGTGCATGAACACATATGTCACAGAAATCGTAAGACAACCTTGGTGTGTTAGTCCTCACTCTCCACCTTGCTGAAGACAAGGTCTCTCCCACTGTTCACTAGCCAGGCTAGGTAGGCCATGAGCGCCCACCGATTCCCCTGTCTCTGTCTCCCCGACCTGAGCAGAACTCTGCAATTACAGACACCTGCTCTACTACCACAGCTTTTATATGGGCTCTGGGGATCTGGACCCAGTTGTCAGGCTTACAGAGTAAGTGGTCCACTGAACTGTCTCCCAGCCCCTAGGGTGCACTTTAGAAAACGTAAATCTAACCTGCCACTCTCCTCCTCAAACCCCTACCATGGCTCCCTGCTGCTCTTAGAATAAAGGAAGGCTCTACTAGACAGCACCATTCCCATTCCATTTATTGTCACTAAATGCCTGCCCGATGTGCCTGTCCCAGAGAAGTCAGACTGGCTTAAGCTGATCCTAGCAAGTCTGCCATTGACCAGTCTGAACCATGACACAGTTGCGGCCAATGACTCCAGCGGAGGATGGTTGGAGACTCTGTGAAAAGTTTTCCAGAGCTCATGCAAAAGTCAGGCCTGACAGCGCTCATCTATGGTCCCAGGACTTGATCCTGGAAGTTCATTGGCCAGTGAGTCTAGCCAATCAGTGAGCGCCAGGTTCAGTGAGACTTTGAAGGAAAGAAAAAAAATGATGTGGAGAATGATTGATGAAGACACTGACATCAACCTCTCACCTCTCACCCATGTATGCACATACATGCACACCCACCCAAGTACAGTCACACCATACACACACACACACACACACACACACACACACACACCACCCAAGGAGGTAGCAGCATCTGGTACCGGGAGCTGGATCATTTTACTCCTAAGCTGACCTCAGGGAAGAAAGTGGTCCAGAGTCTCTGGGACCAGAAGATGCCTACATCCTCTCTCAGGGAGAGCACAGTGACTAATCACATCAAGTCCTACCTTGATTGTACAGGGAGCAGAGCAATAGGCAAATCCAGGTCTCCTCGGTTTGTGGCTAATTGGGGCCTCTCCTCTCCTGCCCCATGCACAAAGCATGAGCCTCACCCAGGGAGGGAACATGCTTGGAGGATGATCCCCCACACCTTCCCCCAGCAGCAGCAGCTCAGACCAACAGGCAGCACCACTGGGGGCTTCTGGTCGGGTTAACACACAGAGCCACAGACATCCCTGGTTCTGTTTACTCGGCTCAGGCCCCCAGAAGAGGTCTCAAGAGGCTGCGCCCTTGTGTATACATGTAAACTCCCAGGCAATTCTCAACATATCCTGGACGGGCCTTGGCGCCCAGCGGTCACCCTCCAAGGAGCAAGGTTTGGAATGTGCTCAAAGAACTTAATCAAGGCTTTCTCCAAATATGTGCATGAAGCTGTGGAAACTGGGCCTCCTCCTGCCTCGCCTCCACGTGGGGTGCTTCTTGGGCGGGAGGAGAGGGAGGCTCGACTTCCTTGGCCTCCACGCTGGTATTATGGTGCCTCTCTGTCCAGGTTGGCTTTAAAAGGAAGTAGTGCTGGGAGTAGGTCCAGTGTGGGAGAAAAGCCAGAATCCAGGTATTCGTGGAGTCCCTGCCTTGTGGTCCCTGGCACACATCCCCTACGCTCCTTCCTTTACCATCTCCAGACGCCGGTAGTGCAGGAGTCCAGAATGATGCTTGGCCTGGGACTGCCTCCCAGAAAGCTCACCAAAACCAAATCTTTCATCTCATCTGTGGACTCCTTAAGAAAAATAAAAAATCCAGATTTCTAAAACAGAGTTCCAGCTTGGGTACTTGACACCAAAGGGTCACTATTCCCCTGACTTTCGCACAGGGGCTCATGAAATTGTCACAACAAGCATATGAAGTACTTTCTGTTATTAACTTCATGCCCACTTTACAGATGTGCACACTGAGGGCCTGTGTTCCTTACCCAAGTTACAGAGGGAGTAAGCCGCAGAGCTCTGATTTAGACCAAGAAGTCTGATTCCAGAGCCTTCTGTAGAACCTTGTAAATTTTTTTTTAAATGGAAATTAGGAGGGCTACAGAGAAGGCTCGGGTGTAAGTGTGCTTACGATGGAAGCAGGAGGACCTAAGTTCAAACCTACAGTCCCCATCCAAAATAATCCAGCTGCGGTTGTGCATGCCTAGAACCCACACTGAGGAGCAGAGACAGGTAGATCCCCAGAACTCGCTGGTCGGCAGCCTTCCTGAAAGAGCCGACTGACGGGCCTCAGGTTGAGTGAGGGTGTTAGAGGGAGACATCCCACGTTCTCCTCTGGCCTCCAAATGTATGCAACACACACACACACATCATCATCATCATCCTCATCATCATCATCATCATGGCACTCACTGCTTAGAGGGTGTGCTGTGCCTCGCCAGCCTCCACATCCCACCCCCAGCCTCTCCATCCCAAGAGGTGAAGAAACTTCCTCTGCCACAGGCCCCAAACTACCATCCACAGCAGCCTCCGACACTGTGAGGGGAAACAACTCCATGCAAAGCATTTCCTCCAGGATTCTGTTCCAGTGACAGAAAGCTGACTAGCCAACCCCTCCCCCTGCCCCGAGGTCTTCACTCCAAAGTCACTTCCCAGCTGAGCCTCCCTGACTCTTGACTCCTGACCAGTCCAAGCTGGAACCACACCTTTCTCTTTGTCAGTGTGTGTCATGGATTCAGTGACCTTGTACTAATGTGGGTCCCTATCTGTGCAACTGCTGTGCAGCAGAAATATCACACCACACAGGTCGTTCCACAGTTTCCAGTCACCACGTTTTAAAAGTGATAATGAATGATAAAGCTGATGTTAAGACTTACTGTGTTGATACGTAAGCAATAAATTACTAATGAGCTCTTTTACACTCACTTTTTAAAATCATGATGAGAGTTCTGAGTGATCTTCAGCTGAGTGGGCCCATGCCTGTTGGGCTGAACAGTGCTGATCTGGTCCAATCTCTTTGTCTTAGTCAGGATTACTATTGCTATGATGAAATACCATAGCCTAAACCAAGTTGAGGATAAAAAGGTTTATTTGGCTTACACTTTCACATCTTAGTTCTTCATCGAAGGAAGTCAGGGCAGGAACTCAAAAAGAGCCGGAACCTGGAGGCAGGAGCTGATGCAGAGGAAGTCAAGGGGGAATGCTACTTCCATGGCTTGCTCGGCCTGCTTTCTTGCAGACCCAAGACCATCAGTCCAGGGATGGAATTGCCCACATGGGCCAGGCCCTCCTCCATCAATAACTAATCAAGAAAATGCCCCCAGGCTTACCTACAGCCCAACCTTATGGAGACATTTCCTCAATTGAGGCTTCCTCCTTTCTGATGACTCTGGCTTGTGTCAAGTTGACATAAAACTAGCCAGGACACTCTTGTCCCCAGGGAGATCACATGTAACTGTATTGTAAAGATGCCACTGAGTGATCCCTGCTACCCATTTTGGTTGGTCTAGGAACCTGCCTTTAAATGCAAGCACCAACTTGAGACAAGCACAAACATCTTAGGAATTTGACTCTCCGCAGACCTCTTCACAAGAGACCCACGTCCATAGCGTCGGCCAAAGCAGGATGCCTTTATGCTCTTCAGACTGACTGGAATGGTGGATTCACAGACGAATGACAGGACAAAATCTGGAGCCTGACAGTGAGTTCTAGGGATGTGGCTGCGAGATGAATGGAGGCGGAGGAGAAATGGCGAACTCTCTGGGTTATTTGAGTTGGCTGCCGCCCATTGCCAGCCGCTGGTGAGCAAGGCTGTCTTCCAGCACAGGGAGCTGTGGTTCTTGGTGCCAAAACAACTCCTCAGGGACTTGAGCAGGGACTCGGCACACCAGCCTCGAACACCCCTCCAGCTCACTGCTCGGTCCAGATGCTCCCAATCGAAAGCCTTCTCTGGCAGGGGCAGCCGACACCATCTGAAGACAGTTTCAACCCTAAGTGGAGGAATACACGGGAGGCATGCGCGGGTTGTGCCAGGCCCAAAAGAAACTCCAGACAGACGACAATCTGTGGTGCCTATTAGCATACCAAAGCACATCCTGGCCTCCAGGTTCCCTCAGTACCTGTGGCTCTTCTCAGCTCTCTTTATCCTGCCCCCTACCCTGAACATCTCCAGCTCATGGCCTTCCCTTCCCCCAGCTTCCCATCCCCGTATAACTGCCATTTCGGCCATGTGCTCTCTCTTTTGTCTTCCTTTCTGGGTCCCCTCTCTCTGGGGCCCCTTTGCCTACACTCTCTTTGTCTTCCTCTCTCATTCTCCCTTTCTCTCTCTCCTCTCATGGCCTGGTCCAGTCTGCTAGCCATGTCCTGTGTAGTGTACCTACTTTCTCTCCCTCCTGTGGACTCTTCCAGATGCCGCTGACTGTTCTCTCCCTCACATCTACACTAAAAACCTTCCCCTCAGCCATAGCTTGGAGCAGCCATGTCCCCAGTTTATACAGATAGAGGCAAGGATTGTTTTCAGCATCCCTGGTGACCTAAAGCATCCCCCAACACACCATCATCTGAGCAAAGCAGGCAACAGTGTTCCCAGTGACATGATCTCTCTCTGATGCTACTTGGGCTTGTCACCTCCGTGGTCCCCATTGTCCACTGTGTCTCGTCCTCTCAGTGACGAGCCAGCCTGTAGCCATCAGTCCAGCAGAAGTCCTCAATGGACAGCCTGGCCAGGAGAAAGGCTCTCTGTGGCATCGGCCTCCTGGAGGCAGCCAGGAAGCCCAGGAACACCTGCTAAGGGGTGTATCTTCTCCCTGACCCATGCGGGGGCTGGAGGGTAAGATCCAGTTGTGGTTTCTGTCACAAAACATTTCTGAGTATCACTACTCAGAGTCTCCTCTCAGGGGCTGGAGTGATGGCTCAATACTTAAGAGTGAATGTTGCTCTTCCAGAAGACCTGAGTTGGGTCTCCAGCATATGCATGACACACACACATACACACACCCATGTACTCTCACATACACACACACACACCACATACACACATACTCACACCCATATACTCTCACACACACACACACACCACATACACACATACACACACCCATGTACTCTCACATACACACACACACCCACCACATACACACATACTCATATACACACACACCACATACACACATACTCACACCTATGTACTCTCCCCCCACACACACGCCATATACACAAATACTCACATACATACATACACACATACATACACACCACATACACACACTCATGTACTCTCACATACACACACACATACCACATAACACATACTCACATACACACACACACCACATACACACATACACACACCCATGTACTCTCACATACACACACACACCACATACACACATGCTCACACACATACATACACACACACCATATACACACATACTCACACGCATGTACTCTCCCACACACACACACCATATACACACTCACATACACACATACACACATATACACACACACCACATACACACATACATACACCCATGTACTCTCACATACACACACACCACATAACACACATACACACACACATACATACATACACACACATCTCACACACACAGAATAATTAAAATTAAAATACATATTTTAAACTCTCCTCTCAAGTTCATGCAAAGAGTGCAAGCTCACAGATGTGAACCAACACACAGCCTGACTGGTTTCTTCTGCCTCCATAGGGGCCCGAGCTGCAGCGCACGTGAGACAGCCCACCCCTTGCAGAGGAAACACACAGGCTCTACCCTCCACGACACACCTGCCTCTCTCAGCTCTTCCAGTAGATGGCACAGCTAACTGAGATCATCCATAACTGTGTGTGCCTTTCAACACCATCCAGTAAGGAGGGGCCTAAGGGACTCTGTCCACTGCCTCGAAGGTCAGACCAACGGAAAATGGGACGGACATTAGAAGGGCTCTCCCTACGTGCCCTCTGAGGAGCCACTGCTGATTCAAGCCCCCTGGGAAACATTTTTATACACAAGTTCTGCCCTGTTCTGAGAAAATAGCTCAGAAGTGCCTACACTGGAGATTTCATTCCGTTTGATTTTTGTCTTTTGTGTTTGTGTGAGCACATGGGCATGTGCCGCGGCACCCACGTCAAGGGGATAACTTGCAGGGATCGGTTCTCTTCTTCCACCACGTGGGTCCCAGGAATCAAACTCAGGTCATCAGGCTCGGCAGCCGGCACCTTTACCTGCTGAGCCTGTAACACACCGGCGCTAAAGACTTCATTTTTAAAGTAGTTGTTTAAGAGGCAGCTGAAATTGGACTCTCCCAGGTCATTACCATCCAAGCCCCTCACTCCTCACAGGTTTTTCAGTTTTCATAGCTATGGTGATATTTTATTTGTACTGAAATGTGATTTTATTTGTATGTTAATAAATAAAGTTGCCTGGGGGTCAGAGCTAATAGCAAGCTATAGCAGATCTGGGCATTCGTGGCGCACGCCTTTAATCCCAGCACTTGGTAGGCAGAGCTAGGTGGATCTCTGTGTGTTCAAGGATACAGCCAGCATTGGAGACACACGCCTTTAATCTCAATACCATAGAAGACCTGGAAGTCAATACAAACAGGCAGTGATGAGGCAGTCATGTGTTTGGGTTTACAACCAATGAGAAGGCAGAACAGAAAGACTATATAAAGATAAACAGACAGGAAGTAGGTCCCTTTCGGAGAGATCTCTTGGCTGAAGAGGCTAGCTGCAGCAGGCGGTAAGGCTCTTAGCTCTGATCTCTTGGCTTTCTTCTTTGCATTGGTTCTGTGTTTCTTATTTAATAAGATGGTTGGTTATATCTACACATAACTTTCTGAGAAATAATTTCTATCCAGGCCCCATAGTCAGAGACAGATGGCAGGGAGTCTCTGCCACAGTCACAGTGCCAAACCTGGCTCTATCTCACACTTTCTCACTACAGGATACTTCCCTCTCTCCCCGCACCCAGGCGGCCACCCATCTATTCTGTCAATGTGGATGAGTTTGCTTTCTATATAGGACATGAGGGAGCCTTAGAAAGCCACACTTTTTGCATCCAGCATAAGTACTTTGAGATTCACCCATGAAGAGCCCATATTCTTTTTCTTTATCGCGTAGTATTCCATTGTGTGAATAGACACAAACTGTTTTATCCGTCCATTTGTTAAAGAAACAGACAAACTTGCAATGAGGACTCATGCCCAAGTCTCTCTGGACAAGTGTGTTTGCATTTCTCTTGGATCGATGTCTAGGAATACCCAAGAAATAGCTGAATCAGAAAGTAAGTATAAATCTAACGTTCTATCTAAGAAACTGATAAACTGCTCTCCACAACGCCCATACTTTCCACATTCATTCCGGAAGCAGGTGCAAGTTCTAGTTGCTCGTACCCATGCCAACACCACACAGCTCTTTCCAGTTGTGCTGTTCTGGGGGTGTCTTGTACCCCCTTGGGAGGTTTGAATTTGCATTGCACCTGGACCGTCTACCCGCCAGGACCATCTTGGAGGCAGTGCTCTAAATAGCCACTGAGAACTGGGGCGAGGACACCTCAGTAGGGAGCCAACTGTGCTGTGGGGGAGGGGAGCTCCAGGTAAGGAGTCAGCATAAAATTGTGACGTCATATGCTTCCTGGAGCAGCTGAAGACAGGAGAGAAGCCCAGTGCTACACACATGTAGGAAAAAAAGTGGGGGGTGACAGCTGGATGGCATGCACAGGCCAGCTTTTTCTGGGCCCTTTCACCCTAATGTAATAAGGGGGTCATTGAAATAGTGGGGTTGTAACTGGGGCAAGCTATAACTCTGCTGCAAGCCAACCCCAGAGCGTAGAACATTCAAACTCCATGGAAGTGTCTCACCCATCCACTGGTCTACAGCGTCCCTTCACATCCAGGGCCAAATCAGTCACCTGGTGCCCTGAGGCCACACAGCCCACAAACTCAAGCCCCCAGTGGCAGGAGTAGCAAGCATCTTGGTGGGTTCAGGCCTCTGGGGCAAAACTTGCAGGGCTGTCACACTCTGGGCCTGAGGGCTGCACAGCTGGCGTCCTGCAGCTGCGTCCATGTGTCTGCCCTGCTCTGGTGAACTGTCAGGAGTGGATGTGTAGAGACGGCAGATCTCTTGAGAGAGAAGCACCTTATGTCACAGCAGTGAGAGGTGATCAGTACTGTATCTGGGGCCACTGCACTAACCTGCCTTTATAGGGGGAGCTTCGAGATCTCATGCAATAGGCACAGCTTGTGCTAACAGTGAAGAGAGGGGCCACCTAAGACATCTCCGTCACTGGCTGTACCCACATACACGGATGTGGCGACCCTGGACCATCTCACCTTGTGAGCTGCCATCCCACAGAGCCTGACACCCATCGGTAAAGGGGACATCAGAACAGAGCTCTCACACACACAGAATAATTAAAATTAAAATACATATTTTAAACTCTCTTCTCAAGTTCATGCAAAGAGTGCAAGCTCACAGATGTGAACCAACACACAGCCTGACTGGTTTC